CATACCTCGTCCGGTATGAGGGTCAAAGTTACCATCCTTCAATAATCTGTCCGATATGAGGGTGAATATGGCCGTCCTCATATCTCGTTCAGTATGAGCGCTAAAAATATTAGTCCTTGATATTTCGTCCGGTATGAGACAACGTTCAAGGTAGGGTTTCCTATATACCCGGTCCGTCCATCATCTCCCAAAATATCCAGTGAGGCTACCATTCATTAATTTACATGATCAATCAATTTTTCGTTTGCATATTAATTATCAGTTTCATAAATCAACCGTAAATCACGCAAGACATGCAATATATATATATATCAAGGAAGTACAATTGAATCAATTAACCATACTAGTATGTCATCATGTATTTAAAGCTGTAAATTCAACAATCAGTTAAATAAGACAACAAATAAATGACTAAACAGTTCCAGCTCCATTGGTAACATATAATTATTATCAAAATTTTCTAAATTACACAAATACTATATTATCGATTATTAAACTTTAATTCCATAACGGAGAATAAGGTGAGAAATTATTACCCAAATTGGTATCCGAAATACCAAACTTTCTACTGCGTCTACTAACGGTCTTCGGATTTTCTAAATTTTTCTGCGGGGATTAAAACACGTTTCACGTACCTAAAAATATCTCAAAAAATTCAAAATCGGTGTTAAAAATTTTTTCGACCAATTTTGGAATTCCGACACAGCGGCACCATCGCCCGTGGCAGTGGTTTACCTCGGCCTGTCCGTTTTTGACCGGTTTTATACCCATTCCTATGATAAAATACATTAAGGAGTATCGGTTAATCGAAAAAAGTTAAAAAAATAAAAAGCTATTAGTGGTGAAATTTTTCGATGAAGCAGTTTTGCCCGCTCAGCTTCGCGACTGAGTGTTTTTTTTATCAACCTGTAGAAAACAGAACGATAAACACAACGGTAAAAAAAATCGTAGAAACGGAAAACATAAAGGGGCTCATCAGATGCGGTTTCGGATTTTGTCTGCGACAGCACTGCCGGTCTTTACTCGCTGTTTCTAGCTCATCTGTTGTTCTTTTTGCTCTGATTTCTCCATGGAGGTGTTTGGAATCAAATTTTAAGTGGATAAAAGAATTTTTACCTTTGTTAGCAGTCGAAGGTGGCTCCGGTGCGACAATGGGCGGTGGTCGGCTCCCTTCTCCGATAACTGGTTCATCTTCTCCAGCGGGAGGCTGGCGGCTAGGGTTTGGGTTCAGTATGATGCGAGATATTTATACCTATCTTTTTGAAGTTTGTGTCGTTTATTATGTTTGATCTCGACCGTCTGATTACAGTTAAAGAAGAAATAAATATGGATCGTTCATCGTGATTTCATATTGACCGTATGATCGCGTTTAAAGATAGAACTAATATGAATCGTTCATTACGTTTAATCGCGACCATTCGATCGTGCATGAGGAGGGAACGGATCTAGACCGTCCACGCGCACGGGAACACATTCGGGTCGTCTGATCGCGGGCATACAGATTATCAGCGTGGCCTCCCGTGTGGTACCGAGTCAGCGTGCCTTGCCACACGACGTGTTCCTGTTCGTCGGAGCTGCTAACTGGACGGTCCTACGTGACATAATTTTTCTTAATTTCGTTTTGACCTCCTAATATCTGATTTTTCTTTCAAAAATACAATTTGAACATAAATTTCACTATTTTTTTTCAAAATTATTTTCAATTTCATCATCAATCTATTTTTTTTCATAATTTCATATTAATTAAAAAATTATTAATTTTAAAATTATATTTTATATATTTTTTCAAATTTTAAATTTAATCCCGAACTAAATTTCGGACCCGGTTATTACTTACTAAAATAAATTTCAGTATGATATCATATTCTTTTTAAAAAAATTATACTTTACAAATTGTGTTGATTAAAATTTTTATTTAAACACAGATGTATTAGAAAAATAACATTTTAAAATACTATATTATTTTAATTTTTTTTACATATTTTAGAACTTTATAAAAAGTTAAATCTGATTTACATATTTTAAAATGTTTCCGTAGTAAAATAAGGAACGACTGAATTACCCGGCTCGTTCAGCACATCACCCTCAACCTCGACTCTCTCCCGCTCAGTGTCCTCGAGGACAATCAGCACCGTCGCTTCCCGGACGACAGAGGCCAATTTTTGGTCCGGAAGCATGTCGTCCGTCTCTGACACTGGAAAAATAAACACCAGTCGTCAACGTCCAGGTATTCTTCTCTGCCCGTCTCCCAGTCGTCGACTTTATCCCCTTATCCCATTGTCGGTTCCACCCATCTATTAGAGCCTGAGCAATTTGTTAGTTTCCTATGAAATGTCGGGATTTATTCTTATCTGTTACATTTATATGCATACTTTATTTTTAATTTTGTTGTTTGTTGTGAATGCAAAAGAAAGCAATAGACTTTAATTAGCTCAACTCACAGGTCCTTCTTTGACAGTGTTGCAACAAGCATAATTGTTTCTGAAGTTGTTGTCAGAGATCAAAATCGTGTAGGGTCATATGATAGAGTTTCTTGTTTCCTAGTTTTTGATTATTTCTTATGGGATGAATATGATTAAGATCATGTTTCTGTTGGCATCAATGGCAGAGCTTATTGTTTTTGGTAGGCTGGAACTAGGTTTTGCCTAAGTGATATAGTTTCAACTTCATTTTTTGTGTTTTATCAATCGCTAAGCGATTATTGTGTCAATTACTGAAACCAGGCGTTTAAGGGTAAAAGTTAATTCTTGAAACCTCAAACGGCACTCTATGGCCATATAAAACCTTTTTAGGCTGTTATGGAGCGAGGGTTGCATATTTCCTTGTGCTTTCTAGCCACTCCTAAAAGTTTTAGAAAAAGAACTCGTCTTTTTCCTTTCTCTTTTTACTGATTGTGTAGATTTCTTTCAGTATCTCCAAGAATTCTACTTGTTATTGAGCATTCATTCAAACAATAATTTTATGTGCTTTCCTCTACCCTCCATTTTTTCTCTCCCAACCTAGCATTTGTTTGGTTTTGCATGTTGCGGTTCTCCGTCTGTTTTCTTTCCTCCAATCTAAAATTTCTTTAAATTTTCTTTGATTCACCTATCTGAATTACTGTTCTGTGATTGTCCTCCCAAGTGCTTCTCTTGTTTCTTTTTTCACTTTCTTTTCTTTCTATCTCTCTTCAGCAAAAGTCAGTTTTCCTTCTTCATCAATCTCTATTCTTTACTTTGACATTTGTTTTTCTTTCAGTTCTCGCTCTTTACAGTTGTTGTGGTTGTGTAGGACTCTGGGGAATGGTGAATACCCACTGGCGGAGCAAAGGACAGTGACTCCAGGGTGGTCTAGTTAGAGATAATAGTGAAGCACTGAGGTTTATTGGGTTCTACTTTATGGATGATAGGAGTTGGAGATGCATGCCTCATTGGAGCTAATTTGATTGTGTGCAATCAGTGGCATAATTTCTTTTGCACCAGTAGAGCTGATTTTGGTGCAGACAATTAATTATTTTAGAAGTTCCCAAGCCCCAAGAATTTTTTTTTTCTCCAATGTTATCTTATTGCCAGAGAATTTTAGGGTTTGGCCTGCAGCTTAAGATGACCAGGTACCCTTTGCCCTACCTAGGCTCATCATTTTCATTATTTCCATGTTTAACTCCAGACATCCAATCAAATTATTTGCATAATGAACCATCAGCAAGTTCGAGTGGGAATCAGCATATTCTTGATGAAAGCTATGTTATCACTGAACTCTCTGATCTATTAAAAGTATCTCCTAAGACTTCAATCTCTAACTTGTATAAAGATTTTGAACCAGAGAAACAAGTAGAGAGAAGGTCTGTTGATGCTTTTTTGTTGCCTGAAGAGAAACTCAGAGGTATATTTCTTCAAAAACTGAAGGGCAAAACTGCAATTGAGAATGCTTTGACAAGCACTGGTGTTGAGTTGAGTCTTGATATTGTTTCTAAAGTAGTTAGTAGAGACAGTTTAAGCGGGGAAGCAATAGTTACGTTTTTCAATTGGGCAATTAAGCAGCCAAGCATATGTAGAGATATTCATTGTTACAACCTAGTTCTTAAAGCATTAGGAAGAAGAAAGTATTTCAAATTTATGGTAGAGCTTTTGCATGAAATGGGGACACATGGCAAAAAACCCACCTTAGAGACCATATCAATTGTATTGGACAGCTTTATTAGGGCTAATCACATAAATAAAGCTATACAAACATTTAGAAATCTAGAAGAGGTTGGCTTGGAATGTGATACTGAAACTTTGAATGTGCTTTTACAATGTTTCTGTAGACGATCTCATGTGGGTGCTGCAAATTCATTCTTCAATGCTATGAATGGAAGGATACAATTTGATGCGACTACGTACAATATTATAATTGGTGGGTGGTCAAGATTTGGTAAAGTAGATCAAATTGAGAGAATTCTGAAGGCAATGGTAGCTGTTGGGTATAAGCCTGACTGTTTGACATTCAGTTACCTTATTGAGGGCCTAGGGAGAGCTGGTAGAATTGGTGATGCGGTTCGGATTTTTGATCACATGAAAGAGGAAGGTTATGTTCCAGACATTAGGGTTTATAACGCAATGATTTCTAATTTTGTCTCAGTTAGAAATTTAGATGAATGTAGGAGGTATTATAAGACTATGTTGAATGATAAATGTGAACCAGATTTGGGTACCTATACCAAACTTATTTGTGCTTTTCTTAAGGTCCGAAAAGTGGCTGATGCGCTTGAAATATTTGAAGAGATGTTAAGTCGAGGAATTATTCCTACAACTGGGGCTGCAACCTCTTTTATTGAACCTTTGTGTCATTATGGTCCACCTCATGCTGCAATGGTAGTCTATAAGAAAGCACGAAAAGTTGGCTGTAGGATTTCACTTAGTGCTTATAAGCTATTGCTCATGCGGTTATCAAGATTTGGAAAATGTGGAATGTTACTAAATTTATGGGAGGAGATGCAAGAAAGTGGTTATGCTTGTGATAGGGAAGTTTATGAGTACGTTATTAATGGACTTTGCAACATAGGACACCTTGAAAATGCTGTACTAGTCGTGGAGGAATCTTTGCAAAAAGGGTTTTGTCCAAGCAGATTTATATACAGCAAACTAAACAATAAACTGCTAGCTTCATATAAAGTGGAGACCGCTTACAAGCTATTTTTGAAAATCAAAGATGCTCGTCGTTATGAAAATGCCCGAAGATATTGGCGTGCAAATGGCTGGCACTTTTGATGTGTTTACTAGCGATGAATGTGAATATGTTCTGCATCCTCTGCACTGGTATTCCTGAAGCAGGTACTTGGATACAAGGCAAGATGGTTTTTCTATTCGTAATTTTGCTTGTCCAGTGTATTATGGTTATTCATTATGACCCCTGGTGCATGTTGCAGTCTGTTGCTCGTGGACATCAATTCAATTCAGTGGCTGCTGTACCTGCGAAAAGAAGGGTTTGGTTGGGTAAACAACTTCTCAATATTTTGGGTTTAGAAGACCAGGGCTTCTGAATTCAGGTAACCAATATTATTTTCTTTCTTAGGAAAGTCGCTAAATGAGACCACCTCAAGCCATGCCTGGTGGCATTGGTGCCAGTGCATCTTTGGCTACTTAAGCCCAGAATATAGAGCAAGTAATATACCTGGTCAAAATCAAGGATGCCTGCTGGTACTGCTTCCTCAAACCCAAGCTCTGCATGCTAGTATTGCCAGTCCTGATATCTTACGCACAAGCATCTCAAATGAATGGTTCGGCGCAAGGGTTGGTGGATCTCCAACAGAGTTAAGATGGATTAGTCCATCAACTGTATTAGCTGCCTCAGAAACCACAGACTATAGTTTTGTTCATCCTCACAGCCTAGAATTGATGATTCTAGATTGTTTCTAAAATGGTTTTGACTCTGACTCCGTTTGGAGGCGATGTATTTCTTTCCTCAAACTGTTAACAAAATCAAGGATCTTTGTACAAAACTTTGTTAGTTGTGCACCTGCCTCACTAGACATATTTCCAAGGTCAACTGGGATCAACATTGAGCTTAGATGAGTGCACTTGATTCTGCAGTTCTTTCTTGAGATAACCTGCAAGCAATCCCTAATCAGGCATCGCTCCAGTTTCTAGTGAGGCTTCAGGAAAGACCAATTCACTTGATTCATAATGGTCTGTTTTCTGAATGCCAATTAGGGGAAGTCGGCTTGCTCACTGTGGGTCATCAGTGAGCTTGGCTCAACATATTGCAGGTCAAATTCTGCCTCGCTGGCAGCATCAGGAAGTTCAGTTGGGGGGTTTGTATTCAAATCTAGGCAATTGTTAGCTTCCATGGCCAAAGGTGAAACCATCTGATATTTACAAGTAGGCAACTTTTTCTACTCAAGTCATTTCTGACATGGATATGAAGACCATCAGTGAGCAGGCAAGGGGTCGTCTTTTGAGTTGGAGGCTACCTAGAGCTAAGACTTAAATAGGCAGTCATTGATTGAACCGCCTGATCATGAATGGTCTGAGGGATAAATCTCTTGGCTCCTAAATGATTTTATAGCTTATTGGTAAATATCGAGCAAAGTGAAATGATGCTTGATTGAATGTTTCTTCAAGTTTCCAGCACTGTTATTTTGGTTACTAGGCTTCTAATTCCTGACTTCAGACAAAGTATTTTGCGTTGGCTAGTGTTTTGGTGATTAAAATAGCTTTATGATTCCAAAATTGTGAAATGGGACTGGACTGAACACTGAATTTACTTCTAAGCTGATTATTTTGCTTTTATATGCAATCTTCATCTCCATCGATCTTAGATTTGAACTGTGGGTTGCATTTTACTGATTTGGAAGTTTCGTGTTTCTTTGGAACATTTTATCTTAGACATGCCAAAAACTTTGTTCCTTATCTGAGGGAGTTTTGCCTTGCTTGTATCCGATGGAATGGTAGAAGGAAGGCCATCCTCTTCCAGCAGCACTTGGTAGCAATGTCATGTCTGATGAGGGTTGAACTCCCAGGTCCTAATGTTGTTCGGATTGCTCAATTCCATCTATTTAGAATCAATTATGTTTCATACTCTCCGCCAAAAAAGTTTTCTTGCTGACTCAGTTGCTCCTTCTGAGTTTTCATGATCAGGTTTAGGGCAACTGCAGGATATGGGTGCTAGACTGCAGAGTTGAAGAGGGAAAGAGGGCAGGCAAATGGAATCCAGGAGAGGAAGAGAAGTTAAAACGAAAGGAGGTGCTTGATTCTGATTAAGAAAAAAAAGCTGAGAGTTAGCTAAATTTAATTAGTTTTTAATTTCTTCAACTTAATAAATAACAAATTTGTTTTTAATAAAGTATTTTAATTCAGCTTCCCAGTACACGTGCTACACCTTTGTCAGCTGACCATAACATTATGCACCACAACTCCAGATTTCAGTTTCTTGTGGTTCTGCGGTGTTAAGATATTTGTGGATGTTAGGACAGCCACTTCTGAAAATTTAGGCATTATTACTGACAATCAAGTTTCACGTTGATGACTTTGTAGACAAAATTATTGATGCAGGATTCCTAATTCTGGACAGCATGTGTTCACACTTTCTATAATAATTTACAAATTTAGATTGACTAGTTGTTCTCGGATAGCACCCCTCTCATTAGAAATTTTTTGATTTCGAAATATATCGAAACATTGGGTAGTAAGAAAAAGGGGGATGCTGTATTTCCAGAATTAGATTTCATATTCGAATAAATCTTGTAATAACTTAAAAATACTAAATAATATTATAGAATTAATTCTTTGAAAAAAACACGATAAATAAGAAAACAAATAAAAAATATCTACCATATCTACTCGCAATTTTTTTACGAATTGGGCTCTGAAACCAGGTGCTTTTGATATGAAATTGTTAAATAAAGGATGAGATATACTAGTACAGTAAGAATATCACACTATATCACCGTCACAGAAGTAAAAGTTGGTATAAAATTAAAAACTACTAATGGAGCATTAAATTTAGTAAATTCATTTATCAATCATAAAATCATTTTGTCGTTCACTTACTATAATGGAATTTATGAAAACAACCTATAAAAAATAATAATACTATATAAATCATAATTTTCTGAACCATCAACAATATAAAACATATTATAAATTCACATCTATTAACAATAAACCAAACCATAACGGTTTCTTTTTTCACCAACCTACTAGTATCCATAGGGATTCATAAGAATGTTTCCGCTACACGTGAACTATTTCTCTTAACAATCTCAATTACAAAGCCGTCTCCATACCCCGTCCGGATATGAGCACTAAAACATTAAATCTCAATATTCCGTCCAGTATGAGGGTGAAGTTGGCCGTTCTCATACCCCGTCCGGTATGAGTGCCAAATTATTCAGTTTGCATACCTCGTCCGGTATGAGACAGTGTTCACGGTAGGATTTCCTGTCTACCTGTTCCGTCCACCATTTCTCAAAATATCTAATAAGACTGCCTTTTCATCTAATCATTTAATCATACAATTTTTTTACCGTTTAAACTTCATTTTTTCCGATTCAGCAGTAAAGATATAAAATAAACCATACATGCGTTCAAAGTCATAAAATAAATAAATAAGATACCATAATGCAGGTAAGCTGTAAAAACAATCAACAACAGCAGTAGATAATTTTCGATTCCGACTCTATTAGCAACCTGTAATTAATTATACATGTTTACTAAAATCGCACAAAATACTACATTATTATTTATTTAAACTTCAGTTCTATGATAGAGAATAGGGTGAGGGATCCTTACTCGATTTAACGCCGAAAGCTAAACGGTTTACTACTCCTACGGGCGATCCCTAGGTTCTCTGAATTTTTCTGTAGGAATTGAAATGCGTTTATAATACCTACAAATATTCCAAATAAACTCAAAATCAGTCCCAGGGCCCACTCGACCAATTTCAAAACTTCGACACGGTGGCTCTGCCTTGCTCCAGCGCCATTGCCGCCGCTCACGGCGGCGGTCCGCCTCAGGTCGGCCATTTTCAGCCGATTTTGCATTGATTCTTATGAGCAAATACGTTAGAGGGCCTTGATTGGCCGAAAAAAAATACGAAAAACCGAAACTCACTGGCGACGGGGCTCTCCGGTGCGACGGCTCCTCCGGCTCACGTTGCGGTTGGGTGTTTCGTTTCGGTCAATCTGTAAAGAAGAAAACAGTGATCATAACGGTGAAAAAATTACGCGAAACAAGAATCGGGAAGGGCATCGGAGGCGGTTTGTGAAATTCTCCGCGACTGTGCCGCCGGGCTTCACCGGTGTTTTCCGGCCAATTGGTTGGTCTTTTCACTCCGATTTGACCATAGGTGAGCTTAAAATTGAATTTCATGCAAAAAAAAAAGTTTTTACCTTTTTTGGCAGTCGGAAAGGGATCCGTTGCGGCGGCAGGTTACAGCGGTCGGCTCCCCGGCGGCTAGGTCGTCTTCTCCGGTGAGAGGTTCTGGCGGCTAGGTTAGGGTTTGGTGTGGATGTGAGTTATTTATATACATTCGCTTTTGATCTGGACAGTCAATCGTGTTTGATCTGTACCGTCCGATCGCGATTAAATAAAAAGTGAATCTGAACCGTCTATCGCGATTCACTCTGGGCTGTCCGATTGCTTTTGAATTTTGTCGTTCGATTGTGTTTGGGAGGGAGCGCATCTAGGTTGTTCGTGCGCGTGAGAACAGACCTCAGTTGTTCGATCGCACGCACGCGGATCACCCACGTGACCCCCCGTCCCCCGCATGGCCTCCCGCGTTAGCGCCTCTGCCACTTGGTGCGTTCTGGTTGGTCAAAGCTGCTGACTCAGCGTTTGACGTAACGAAACTTCCTAAAATTGCGTTTTGCTTTCTATTTTTCGTATTTTCTTTCAAAAATATTTTTAGAATCCAAATTTTTATCTATTTTTTGCAAAATTATTTTCAATTAAATCATCCTTATATTTTATTTCATTTTTTTACTCTAAATAAATTAAAATAAAATACAATAATCAAAATAAAATAATAAAAATTTATATTTATTAATTTTTAATCACCAAAAAAAAAAAATTGTGTGTTACAGATACTATTTTCATAACACTATCTATGTTTTGTTACTTTTATTTTTAAGTTCACTTTCTTAATTAAATCAAACAAATTTGTTTTATATTTTCTTATAACTATATTTTTATTAATATATATATATATATATATATATATATATATATATATAAAGGTTTCTATATGGTATAGGAGTAACGTGAGGTGATCCAAGGTTGATGGCTATAAATTTCCAAGATGTCAAACCAGTTTTCTGCACAAGATTAACCGATCCCCTAACTCCAAAGTCCCCATCATGGATTTTCCTTCTGATTACATCCACTCCATTTCTGTTTTCTTGACTTTGCTTATGATCTATGCTCTCTCAAAAACCTTCTTGTTTAAGCAGAGTAATAAGAGCAGTGCTGCTCGCAAAATCCCTGAACCATCTAGACCATGGCCCTTGATTGGTCACCTCCATCTTCTAGGCCGCCATGACCCAATTTGCAGACAGATGGGTTCCATGGCCGACATGCTAGGCCCTATTTTCTGGCTAAAACTAGGACGCCACCGCCTGCTTGTGGTAAGCAGCCCAGAACTCGTTAAGAACTGCTTCACAACCAATGACAAAATTCTAGCCACCAGGCCGAGCATAGCAGCCGGGAGGTACATGGGCTACAACAACGCTATTCTGGCGCTCGCACCGCAAGGCAAATACTGGCGTGACATCCGCAAGCTGGTCACCGTCGAGCTCCTCTCCACCGACCGACTCGAGCTCCTCAAGCACATTCGCTTCTTAGAAGTGGACACGTTCATCAAAGAGCTGTATAAGCAGAGTGCGGCAGTTGACCTCAGCAAGTCCTTCGAGGGGTTGACCTTCAACATGATACTTAGAATGGTTATGGGCAAGCGTTACTCGAGCGATGACTATGGGGAAGGGAATAGTGAAGTGTCGCGGTACAAGTCGGCTATCAAGAAAGCGGAGTATTTAAGCGGGGTGTTCGTGGAGGCAGATGCAATTCCATGGCTGGAGTGGCTGGATATTCAGGGACATGTGAGGTCAATGAAGGAGACTGCTAAGGAACTGGATAGTGTCATCTCGGGCTGGCTAGATGAGCATCTGCAGAAAAGACGGCAGGCCACGGCGGAGCTTCAGGACAGTGATTTCATGGATGCCATGCTCTCCACCTTACCAGAAGATGCTGTCATCTCCGGCTATACTCGCCATATCATTGTCAAGGCGACTGCTCTGGTACCGAACATCATTAATGGCTCATGGATAAATAAATAAATTTGTTAAATTTTTATATCAATCTTATAGTAGGTGACAGAAACGGACTGATATCAGCTAGGTGATTGTACTGGACGAATAAGTGGTTAGGAAGAATTTCAAATGTGGTCATCCTGCTGGTGGGGGAAATGGAATTGTCTTTGTTTTTTTCCAAATTTTTTTTAAAAAAAAGGAAGAAATAGAAAACGATGATCACCAATCTTAGAAAATTAATATTTCTTTTTTCAAACCCAAAATTCTCATTTATTTCATTTTATTTTTATATGATAAAAGAAATGAAATTTATACATGTAATTCAATATTTGTTGCAGATTCTTACGCTAACAGGATCAGAAAGCATATCAATTACTCTGACATGGGCACTCTCCTTGCTCATAAACAATCCAACCGTGGTAAAGGTTGCACAAGATGAGCTGGACAGGGAAATAGGAAAGGAAAAATGGGTTGAAGAATCAGACATGAACAAGTTAAACTATCTGCAAGCCATCGTCAAAGAAACTCTGCGGTTGTACCCGCCGGGACCCATAACAGGCCTCCGGGAGGCCATGGAAGATTGTGACATCGGCGGGTATTTGGTGCCGAAGGGAACTCGGGTCATCGTCAACATATGGAAGTTGCAGAGGGACCCTCGCGTGTGGAAAAACCCATGTGAGTTTCGACCCGAGAGATTCATGGCAGATAATAATGGCGATCATCAGAACAAGTTTGAATTCATTCCTTTCAGCTCTGGTCGGAGAGGGTGTCCCGGTGCTACTTATGGTTTGCAGGTTGTGCAGTTGACGGTTGCTCGATTGCTTCAGGGATTCCATGTGAGAGCAGCCGTGGGAAGTAGTGTGGATATGCGAGAGGGATTAGGAATTTCGATGCCTAAGGTCAACCCACTACATGTTTGTCTCACGCCACGCCTTCATCACCGCCTCTATCACTAAATAATTAGTGTCATCTCGCTCTGTTATCACTAATTACAAGTTATGCCATGAGACGTACTTAATCACTTTATTATATGTACTAAGAAAGTTATATTAATAAATCAAGGATAAACTTTTTAATTATTTAAAATTTAATTATAATTAGACATATAATGTTAAATGTAAAAAAATTAAAGTTTTAAGTAAATTATTAAATTAACCTTTAAAATTTATTATTTGTTATAATTTGATTCTTAATATTTTTTGTTATAATTTGAAGTTCAACATTTTGAAATTTATTTCAAAAGTTTAGTTTATATTTATTTTTTAAATTAATAATTAAACTGTAGTAAATATTAAATTTTATAAATTAATTTAATAATATTTTCTAAAATTTTGACATAATAAATAACTATTTTGGTAATTATAAATTCGTATGGTACAGACAGAATTAATATTAATGGTAGGCAATTAAAACAAAAAAATAGTTACCTAATAATAATAATAAAAAAATTAGAACAATTAACTGGAACTTATAATTAACTCTTTTTTATGGGTAGAATTTTTCTAAAGTTATTCAAATATGATGACAACTAATGGCCTTTATGTATTCAAAAACAGTTAATGTTTTCTTGAAATGTCTTAATTTTGTTAATTTTAATGTTGAAAACATTTTAAAATTAGAAAGACGAGGGTATGCAAATATATATATACACACACACAGAGGCTCTGTTTATTGATCATTAAGATGTGTATGGTGTGAACAGAGATATTTGCATAGCAGGCTCCATTTATTAAGACTTTTGATAGGTATATGTTTGCACCTATATATATATATATGTGTATATAAATGGTATATCTGCACATATAAGTAAATAAGTACGTACAGGTTTTGCAGGTTCATGTGTATGCGAAAAAATTAATGATCATGATATGTACAGGCAACACTTATCTAGTTACACATCAAACTACAAACCTATACCTATTTACCTATCTACTTACATGTGCCACATAGACCACTTACGTGTATACATATATACATACGTACACACATCCTAGTCATCGATAGATGTAGCAAGCATGTACACTTCTCTGTTACCTAGTATTGCTTCTTCTGATGATGAGCAAATAAGTTCCTGATACATAGTATTATAACCATGATCATCTCTTTTACTGTGAGCATATATATCCACCTACAACCCTAAACCTACCTGCATGTGCCCCATAACCTATTTATATTACATATCAATATATATATATATATATGCACATAAGACCTGATATCATGCCTGTATACATATATAGTCTGTTCTACTTTGTATTTGTTCTTGTGATTATAAGAAGTCTTTCTAGTATTAGAGTTAGCTTAGCTACGAGATATTATATATATATATATATATGTTTGAGTTACTACAATACTTTGCAATACCAATTAAACTGGTAACTATGGGCATAAAAAGATTGAAAAGGAAAATTTAAAGAATCAAACTCAAAAATGGTTCTGTTCCACAAATTTTTTCAATACACTTTATATCCTTCTTATAGAATAAGAGAAGTGCGAATGCAGAGACTGATTAATTGGAGAAATTTAAAACATAATGAATGTTATCTTTAAAAGAATTAAGTTCCTTATTATTTCTGTAACTCCCAAAAAAGTTATGTTGGATAATACTAGTCCAAGTGCATTTATGAAAATAAAAGACTTTGAACAAATAATTAAAAGAAAATCTTTTAATTTTGAAAGAAATTTCAATCTTTAAAAAAAATTTCAAAAGCTTCTTATGATTACAAGAAGCAATAAAGAGGTACATATGTAAAGAAGAGAATGAATACATACATATATATATATATATATATATAGATTTGCAGGCACGATCTGGAGGAATGTATATATATGCAATATGATAAATAGAATATGGGACACATCCACCGTAGGTTTAGGTTTATAAGTTAATGTGAATAGGAAAACAGATGATGGTGACGAATATGCAGCACTTATTGACAGAGTTAGCCAGTGCAAAAATCAACTTCAGTTTTAATGCTGGCTCTACTATATATATATATGTATATATATATGCACTAACCCAACTTCTATTTCTCCCGCACTTGTTCCTTATAAACTAAGTGAAAGTCTTGAGTTCAGAAGCAGAGTTCTTTTTCTCTCGGGCTTATTCTTGCTTCACACTGGTCGTGTTCGTTCATCATCTGTGTTGATTTTGTTTTTTGAATTGAAATGAACTCTTCTCAATTATTTCTTTCGTTTTTCTTTACTATAATCTCCTTCTTACCGGGCCATGGAGAAATTTTTGATGTGAAATCATTTGACGCAGTTGGTGACGGTGTCACCGATGACACCCTAGCTTTTAGTAATGCTTGGCAACAATCTTGTCAAACCCAAGGAGCCACACTCTTGGTTCCTCAAGACAATACTTTCATGGTAAGCAAAATCACCTTTGATGGAGAGTGTCAAGGGGAACTTGTATTTCAGGTATGTTGTGTGTTTTTCTTCTTCTCAAAATTAAGACAATGTCCCAACATGCAATGCATACATATATATATATATATATTTACATATATGTGTCTGTATATTTGTATAATGGCCGCAATTAGTTAACATTTTTCTTTATAACAAGGTTGATGGAACTATAGTGGCACCAGGTGGACCAGATCAATGGCCGTCGGAAGCTAACCCCAAGGATCCATGGATTTTGTTTGAGAGTATTCATGGAATGCGTCTACAAGGTAATGGAATCATAGATGGCCGAGGACAGAAATGGTGGGATCTGCCATGCAAACCTCACAGGGTATGATATTTGATGACTTCGTTTTCATGCACACTATTTCAAAAATATTAAAACGTAATGAAATATCTTTTGAGAATAATGATTTTATAACTATGTTATGTTGTTAATTAAACAGAGAAGCAACGAGACAACACAATCTGTTCCATGTGATAGTCCCCTTGTAAGTATGTATTCATATTTTGTTTTGAATTATTTATAATACCACAAGGCTTTTTTCTCAATACAGACACTTAGATTCTTTAAGAGCTCCAACATTACACTGCACGGACTTAATATTAAGAATAGTCCTCAATTTCATGTCAAATTTGACGAATGTGAGAATATCCATATTGAATCACCCGGTGATAGCCTAAATACTGATGGAATTCATTTGGGAAGAACAAAAGATGTTCAAATAAATAACTCGGTTATATCAAACGGTAAAATTATTTATTTCTTTCGTTCTCATGACTTAATTAGCTTAATTTTTGCACGCTCTTGATATTTATTTATTTTTTATCAATGATTTTTTTTTTTTCTTAGGAGATGATTGCGTATCAATTAGAACATATTGTTATAATGTGAATATAAACAACTTAACATGTAGTCTAGGCCACGGAATAAGGTATATTAATCTCTTCTCCGACTTCATAATCTTTTATATGCAAAGTTATGAGTAACTTTTGATTATAATTTTTTTAGATTAAGTCTAAAAAATTTATTAAGTTGACTTTAAACTAATATTTTACTAATTATTCGCAGTATTGGTAGCCTCGGGGAGGATCACTCTCATGCTTGTGTTTCCAATATTACAATTACAAATTCAATAATCAATGGTGTTCGTATTAAAACTTGGCAAGGAGGGTCGTTTAATATCACTTTCAATTATATTCAAATTGAAAGTGTACGTTTTCCAATTATCATTGATCAATATTATTGTTCCACAGAGAAATGTAAGAATGAATCTAGTGCCGTCATGATCCATGATATTTACTATGAAAATATCAAAGGCACGTATGAAAACAAAAATGGAGAGAGTTCACCTGTCAATTTTGCTTGTAGTGATGCGCTTTCGTGTAAGAATCTTAAGTTGGTAGATATCGAGTTACATCCCGCTCCAGGTGAGAAGAATGCATATCCCTTTTGTTGGAATGCTCATGGAAAAGCTCTTAATTTTTCTCTTCCAATAGTTAATTGTTTGAATGAAAATGGATTTCCATTACCAATAGAACATATTTGTTGAATTATTAGATCTTGTATTTCATTTTCTAATAAATTTTAGTATTGAATTTTTTAACATTGTCCAATATTGTTATTACTAATAATTTTTAATATAAAAATATTGTTCGAAATATTCAAATCTTATATTTATAAATTAAATCAAGAACGAAAGTCAAAATATCAAATTTTATCAGGATCAAAATAAAGTAATAGAATCGGTTAAACTTACTAATTATAATTAATTTAACTAATTTCTATGTTTATACATTTTTGGATCATAATCGAACCAATAAAATCGATTAACTTTAACACAATTTTAACATTTTTGACTCGCGTCGCACTAATTAATCTTAAACTAAATAATTAAGTTAATACGGCTAATGGCGATATTATTTTTAATTTAAATTTACAAAACACAAATCTTAATTTAGATTTTCGTCCTAATCTAACATTAATTAACTCGCATATAAGGTTGTTTCTTTTTTTTTTTTTTTTTTGTTTACTTAGTTAATTTTTTAATTATCATTCTTATTCTTATTATCAAATTACAAGGAAGGTTGCTTACCAGTTTTTTAGTCAAGATGAAGATTTTCTTCATTGTTCTTTCTTTTACTTATTAATTAAGAAATCTCATAATTTTTTAATCATTTAATCTTTTTAAAATTTTTAGTTAAAATTTAATAATAATAATAATAATGATTAGGCATAATTTATTATTATCCGTTTTAATTGTTATTATTTTTTCCCTAATTTATTGAGATTTGGATTGCATTTTATTTTGGACAGGATCTGGATTGAATTTAGTCAGGACAAAATTGAATATTATCAATTAAGATTCACTTAATTAACATAATAAATCTTTTACTAATGAAATAAAATAATCAACTAAGTAAAAAATATATATTTAAAAATATACAAAGAATTTTTATTTTTTTATTTTTTTTACTAAAGTGTAAATATATATTATTTTGCATAATTTGAATCTTAGTATGATTTTATTCAGCTACTAATACAACCTATTTCTACTCTTGACTACTTAAAAGAGTCCAAGATCAAACCAAAACATAAGCAGGCAAGAAATCAAAGTCAAAACACTCCCCAAATCAAATCAGCTTCTGTTACCAAACAGAACGCCAATTAATCCGTTACAAAATCTAATTGGTCTAAATACCAAAACCACGTGTCACCAAATGATTGGCTGAGTTTTCAAGAGCAAACTTAACGCAACGTAACCTAATAAAACCCCCCACTCTGCTACTGCATGCGTTCTTCGTGTCGTCCTAAAACGCCTGCCTCTCTCTAGTCTTCCCCGTCTCCGCCATTTGTAGAAACAAAATCAGAAATCTCCTCTTTCTCTTTCTCTCTCTCTCGATAAAGTCAATTCAATTAAACAATTCGGATATCCTTGTATACATTTACAGGCTTTTGTATCTCGTATCTGGCTTTCTATCACGAGAAAAAAAAGAGGAGAGATGGGGCAGAAGAGAGATCTGTCAAGAGCGCAGATGCTGTCTGGGTTCGTGAGGAGGCAGTCGATGAAGGTGAAAATTTTGATGGGAGTTACGTTATTTTTATGTGCGTTGGTGGGTTTGAGGTTGTTGGTGAAAGACAACATAAGACACTTCTTTGTTGCAGCCGAGGTGGTTCATGCGGCTGGGATCTTGGTCTTGATTTACAAGCTCACTAAGACAAAGACCTGCTCTGGTATTTTTTTTTTCCATTATCGTCAAATATCTCTGTTTTTTTTTTGTTCTCTCTGTTTTTTTCCCGAGGGGTAATATAAAAATTTACCAGAGTGTATTGAATCTCTCTCTCTCTCTCTCTCTCTCTCTCTCTCTCTCTCTCTCTCTCTCTGTTTTATGGAGTGCTGTACGATTGATGGCTTTGATTTGATGTTCGGTGGTTCTGAATTGTCTTATCTTGTTCATCTCAGCCAGGGGAAAAACCAGAGAGAATTTAGATTCCTTTTCAAAATCATAACTTACTTGATGTTAATATTGAACGTTTTGCATTCAATTCTGCGAGACATTACACGATTGATGTGATAATCGCAGATTAAACAAATAAGCAAAAAACTTGGGGGGCTAAATAGGGTTTAAGTCGGATTATACTATCGTGTCTGAAAAATATTAGACTACGTATGAAATCAAAGGTATGTTGAATTAGAAAAGGTGACAATTGAGAACACAGAAAGTTCAATTTGGTTTCAGAGTGATAAATTTGGTGAGCCAAGTGAACAAAGAAACCAAGCTTGTCTATTTTGTCACAACTAAAATTTTCATTAGCCCTGATAATCAAGTTGTTGACTTAGGAGTGTGATTTTATTCAGGTCTTTCACTCAAGTCTCAAGAACTCACAGCTATATTTCTAGCTGTACGATTGGCTTGCAGCACCATGATAGAGGCAGACATTCACACGGTGCTAGATTTCGCCACCATTGTTTCGACTGGGTGGGTTATTTATATGATACGTCGTAAGTTGAAGGCCACTTACATCAAGGAGCTGGACGATATGCCCATCTACTATTTGGTAAATTGCATTCTTCATTATCACTACTCTTATAATATAAACAATTCATTGTAATCGTTACAAATTCGTTCAAGATTTTAAAATAATTAGTTCAATTAATTACTCATCAACTACTTATTATTTGTATGACACAAAACTCTGTAGATTTATTTCTTTAACATGGTATCATCACTCGGCTAGTTCTGCATCCATACTATTTCCTAGTACAATTTTGATTAAAGAAATTAATTGACTTATTCTTTTTTACTTTATCTCTATTTTGTTTTATTGATTCAGTCGATTATTGTTTGGAAATTAGAAAATATGTTTAAACAGACACTTCAAAAATCTTCCTTCACTTCATTGATTTTGTTTGTTCAATATGTGATAGTTGGTACCTTGTGCTATTCTGGCTGTAATTATACACCCTTATACACATCATTCAAGGATTAGTCGAATTATGTGGGCATTCAGTGTCTTCTTGGAATCTGTTTCAGTCGCACCTCAACTTCGAATGATGCAGAAGGCAAAGGTAAAATACCACCACTTGAGTTCAAACTATGCTAATTCTCTTTCGCAAGTTAGTAATTTTGTTTACGTTATTTCTCAGATGATAGAACCATTTACTGCGCATTATGTATTTGCTCTTGGTGTTGCAAGATTCTTTGCTTGTGCTCATTGGATAATCCAGGTCAGTTTTTGTTTTTTAAGCCGCGAGCACGGAAGTATTCATTCAACATTTGTATTTTTCATAAGGACATTCTCAACATAACCTTGTAGATTTATCTCATATGATATGTATTTTCCAGAGTATATGTAACTTTCCTGTATTCTTCAGAATTATCTCATGTCTTTTGAAGTCATCTACGAAGTCAACAGGAGAAAGGGGCATTGAAAACTTTTACCGTGAAGAATCTCTAATGATCAAAACAGTAGAAAGTTTGTTTTTTTTAATCGGAAGAGATAAATGCCTCAAAAGAATAGCTTGAGCTTTTTAACTTTTAGAATTCGTGGTTTATGTCTAAAAAATTGTTTTAGTTTTTCAAGTGATATCACTCTCGTTTCCAGCTTGTTCATATTTCATCTTTCCGTTGAAAATGCAGATTTATGTAACCCGAGGAACGTATTTATTCTTCATTACTGCCGGATACTTCTGGTTCCCAGTAGCTCTCCTCGCAGAAATTGTTCAAACATTCATCCTTGCTGACTTTTGTTACTATTACGTAAAGAGGTAAAACTGTTTTGTTTTCTTTCATTTTAGTCACATTTTGATTCTCTGTTGTTGCTTGCACAAAATTATATCTCTGATTTTAATTTTACTGTCTAAATCTTTTTTTTTTTTTCTTTCAATTGCAGTGTCATGGACGGCCACCTTATTTTACGCATGCCTATATAACATTTTGATCTAGTAAAATCGAAGAGGATTATGATGTACATTTCAAATTCACTTTTTTGAATCTTAATTTTTTAGCAAAAATATATATGGGGACTTTGGTTCTAGTCCTGCCCAATTGGGACTATAATCTCCTCTGCTTGTTTTTCTAATTCAATTGATTACTTTCTCTCTTTGATATGATTTCTGATTATTGCAAGAAAATTACCATGAATTTTAGATCACCATAGCCATTTGTTTTGAAATGAGAATGTCACTAATTCAATAAGATAATTTTGAATGTCAACAATCAATTAATAAACCTTGACAAAATTCATCACCCTTCGTAAATATTTTGACAATTTATAAAATTTGTACTGCAGAAATAACTTTAATATTTTCAAATTTCATTATTATTCTGAATATTATTCCTTAAATCACATTAAACCCAAATCCATCTAATCCAGACAACCCTTTTTATTAACCCCGAAATCTCAACCCCAATCCCATGTTTTCCACGTAAGAAACGTCACCGTCCCGTTCCGTTCGTTTCTCGCTTCGTTTTTTGACGGGGGTGTTTGCTGTTAAATGAAGACAGAAGCAATAGGCTGATCCACGTCTCACCTCTCTGTTCGAGGTCAAGGGAAGCGAGAGAAACAGAGTGATGAGAGAGAGGGAGGAAAATAGAAGAAGCAAACTGTCGGGATAGACGAGAAGGAGCTCCCAAGTCGTGCAAAATCATAGGCGGTTTTGGAGTAGCAGCAAAATGCAGAGGTCACCGTGGTAATCGCCAAGAATTTGCAGTGAAGGACTAGAACCACCAAGTCTGGTAACGGCGAGCCGAGCTGGAGCACGCGAAGAGGACAACGGATCCCGCAGATATAAGAAGAGAGCCTCAGAGGCGATTTTGAAGAGGAGAACGGAGAATCTAGGGCGTCAGAGAAACGAGGCGAAGGAGAAGGAGAGAAAACTCGGGAAAAGGTTCTCAATTAGGATTTTCTAAAAGGGTGTCGTCGAAGCCGTAACAGCGGCCTTAGGTTCATACCACAAGAAAATTGGAGAGAGAGCGAGAAGATAAAATCAGGTGAAAAAGGAAAGCCTTTTTTGGGTTTCTTCTTTTGAACCGAAAGGGGAATAATCGGGAGTTAGAATCAAGGGAGAGAAAGAACAAATTTATAGGGTTTGAGAAAGAAAGTAGGCTTGAAGATAAAGGTTAAATCAAATCTCTCTTCCTCCTTTACTGCTTTGTTACTTCCATTTTGCGTCTGAACTTGAGAATAAATGAAATCAGGCTTTATTTTTTGTATTCATTTCTATATGGATGAAGTGTCTAGCTGCTTTTTCATTTCCATTTTCATTTTCCGTTCCTTTCTTTTCTTTCCAGTAGGTTATTGGTCTTTGTTTGATACTGTTTGATGTTTCTGTGAGAAAGTTCGTAATGCTTCTTGTTTAGGTCTTAGTTCATTTGGAGGTAGAATTTGGTTCATGTCATGATTGTTGATTATATGGATTAGTTAGCTTTTGAGTTAATGCAGTTAAACATTTAAGACAAGGGCAAAATACCCTGGCAATCCCTCCTACTATTTGATTTTTTTCTGTATGAGCCTCTTAATTTTTAGTCTATTTTAACATTAAAATCTTACCCGATCCACTCTCAACCTTAACTGCCTTTTTGGACAGTTTTATCTCGAACACGTGGCTGATGATATGTAAAAAATTAGAATATGTAAGTGATGATGTGATGTATGACGCGACAGTTATGTTAGATTAAAAAACTCAAAATTCAAAGTCTCTGATTTCTGCTTCTTCATGTCTATCCTCTTCGTCTTTTGAGATTGAAGAGTATTTTGATCCGAATTGCTTGTGCATTGGCTAATATGTTACTCTATGGAGAATTTAGGAAAATTTTTGGATATCCTGATTGATATGTAAATATTTTTTGTTCATAGGTTGGCACCCATTTGGTGCTTGTATCCAATGATATATGCTATACTTTTTATTTAAAAAAATATTGACTAACATGTTGGAATTTTATATCAATATGGTCATATCTGAACTAATTTATTTTTGGTTATATCCTGTTAATTTATTTTTATTGGAGAATCATGTTTAGAAGGTAAGAGTATTTGGAATGTGAATTGTTGCACATTTGTATCTGTGAAGGTCCTTGAAGGCTACTGTGTTGAACTCTAATCTCAAAATTGTCAACTTTGATCTGATTTATTTTGAGTCTAAATTGCTCCATCCAAGACCAAAGATGGAGTTTACAGAGATCCTAGCGACAGTGGCAGAATTGTTTGTGCATCTCATGTTTCAAAAACTGTCAATACTGCCAATATCAGGTGTTGGTCTTGGGAAATTGCTGCTGTTTGTGGTAGTGGGCCAACATGGCAGTGTCTATTGGAAGAAAGGGAGTTCTTGAATATTACCTTGATTGGATTCTGAGGAGCCTTTAGATTACCAATGTGGTTGGATAGTAGCACCACAATGAGTGTAGGGAGATAGAGAAAGCTGTTGGAGGAGCAATGAAGTTAGTGCAACTAACTGGTTCATGTGCCTATGACAGATACACATGTCTGCAAATTCGAAAAATATTCCAGACTCAGCCAGAAGTTTAGGGTTTTCAGGCACTACAATTGGAAGGAGGTAGAAGGAGATGATAAGGAATAAGATGGCACTTGGAATTTAGGGTTTTATGAGATTGTTGCTTGAACAAAGAGTGGGGCTCAGAGGAAGAAGATGGGAAGAATCAGGGACCTAGATGGAATTTTGAGTTTTTGACATGATGTGGCTGCCACATTGAATGTCAGGGTATGTCCCATGTCACCGCTTACGTGTTCTAATTTTGACTCATCATTAGCCTTGTATGTAAGATTAAACAACCCATAAACAGCAGTTAAGACTGAGACTGGATGGGGTAAAAATTTGAAAGTAATGGATTAAAACATGCCAAAAAATAGTACAAGGGTTTGGAGGAAAAATATCAAATAGTACAGGAGCTGATAGAGTACTATAGCCTTTAAGAAGATGATGCCTTGAAGGCGGTTGAGAAAATGCCATAAAGGTAGCCGGTTTCTTCTCTAAATGTATGAGTTGCTTGAGGAACCTGGTTAGTCTGTGTGCTTATATCTGACATGGATGGGCTGTTTTAGTTTGATCAAGGCCTGATTGTTTTAGAATGGGTATGGTGCCATGGAACTAGATTAGACAAAATAGTTTGATATGCTGATCCTGATGTTTTTACATGCCTTAGTTCAGTAATTTTTCATATTATATCTTCATCATGAGAGGATTCTGATTTTTCTATCTTTCATAATAGTCTCAGCTTTGGGTTTATTGAGCAAAACTGCGAGGTAAATAGGCATGATAAATCACTCTTGTTTCAACATGCTTTTGGATGTGCATATGGTTAAACAGGCCCTAAAAAGCTTTTGGTTTGGTACATTTGATTCAGTAATTGATAGGTTTCTTTGAGAACTATGCAGAATAGAAAGTTGCTGGTTTCTTTGAGGGTGCATTAGTCTTTTCCGATAATAATATACCATTAGCAATTGATGTTTGGATGTCTGTTAAATATCATTTTGATAAGTGAATTTATTTCAAAAAAAAAATCATTTTGATAACCGAAGAACACTCAACTTTGTTCCAAGTGAATCATCCATGAGGCTCAAATGGGAGTGCTGGAGGCTGTTGAACATAAGAGGGGAAGAAGTTAAGAGTTTTATTCAGAATAAATATTTGATTGTTGAAGATGAAGTTGTGAGTGGGGGATCTGTTGTAACTTGTTTAATTTTTTGATGGCTACTTGGAATGGCAAGTTTATTCAACACAATAGAAGGATATTAGTTGATGTCTGGTTGTATGTTCAATTTTATTACAATAAGCATCAAGAGCTTCTTATTGCAAGAGCCTGTGCTAGAGAGGACACGTGAGCAAGGATTTAGGAAATAGATACAGCAAAGCATCCACTTTGGCACCAATTCAGTTGAGAATTAAAGGAGATAAGAGGCAGAACCTTCTTTTCTATTTTGAAATACCCAATTTCCTTTTTCTGTTTTCCGGTTCATTGCCGATACTATGTTTTCAGCTTAAACATCCTTGAAGGCAAGGATGCTTTTATAGGGAGGGTAATGGCAAGACCCAATTAATAATTAGAGTTTATTGGAAATAATTAATTGAGCTGTTGGGATTACTGAAATTAGGTAAGAATTAGTTTTAATTAGTTTCTTTTAGCTACAAAAGGTTGAGTTGGAAATTCATTAGTTTGTTTCAGCTATGAAAGGTATAGTTGGGAACACGAGAGCTTTTGAGGACTTGAGAGATGATTTTGATAAAGTTAGAGATAGATAGTTTCAGATCCTAAATTTTTTTATTACGAGTCATCCTCTTTATACAATGGATAATTTTGGAGACCTTATTAATGTTTTGATTGACATGTAAATATTTTTTGTAAATGGGTCAACAATCTCTTGGTGCTTGTGAATGCATGAATCACGCCATACTTTTTGTCTTAAAAAAAAAAGAATTGTATCCATAAAATGTGAATGAAAATTTCAAGCTTCTCTCTACAGCAATTCCTCTTTTATCTTCATCTTTCTTACTCTTTCTTCTCCTTAAATTTTAATTCTGCTTGCATCTTCTTCTAGATACTTTTCTGTTTCTTTTGCAATTCTTCTTCTTCCTTTATTTCTTCACAAATCAGGACAGGTTCCTGAGAGAACACTGCGGCACAATTTTTGCCCATGAATATTAGTTCATTTGGAGTTAAAAGTTAAGTTTTTTTTTTTTTCTACCAAGAAAAATTCAACCTTTGTTGGTTACATCTACATTTAAGATGCTTCATGTTATTTGATGTAATCAGGACCAAGGAGGGCATTGAAGTTGAATTTCAAATGAAGCATATAATTAAGATCTTGACCCTATTTGTGACTATATCTGCCTTTTGGATTGGGCTCATACAGGCATCAGTAGTTTCACGGAGCCACACTTGGTTGGTGAGTGTTTTTTTTTTTTGGGTCCTATTTTCCTTGTCAAGTTATTTTCATTTTGCATCTTTTCCCTCTGATTTTTGGTTTACTAGGTGAGCTTTAATTTTTGGTGTTTTTGCAGCTGCCAATCTACTTTATAGTGTCGTTAGGATGCTATGGTTTATTAATGGTTGGAATTGGTCTGATGCGATTTCCAACTTGTCCTGAAGAAGCACTGCTGTTGCAGCAGGTATTTTACTTTTTTGTTTATTTATAACTGCAGCTTGTTTATTGTTTGCTGTTGAATAGTCCCGGTTACTTGAAAATTATGTAAGAGATGAGGTTCTTTGCTCTCTAGTTTTTGTTGTAGTAATTACCCATAGAAGACTTGATTGGCTTGAAGGCTAGCTCTCTAAGAGAAGAGAACTGGTTGTGGCTGGTGTTTAGGCTACATGCTTCATTTAAGGGTCTTTGCTCTCTCAGAATCAAGGAAAATATTATCACGAACAACCAGTTAACCGAGCATGTCAAATATGAATATCAATGGAAATAGAGATCTTGGACATGCTGAATAATGTTTGTAGACTGGCAGACGCAATGGTCAAACAAAACCACTAGAGTCAACAATATTTGTCATTCCGTCTACTGATCTGCGTTACCTTATCTGCAGGACATTCATGAGGCCAAGGGCTATCTGAAGCACAAAGGCGTTGATGTTGGTTCTAACTAGCGAGCTTATCGCAATTTTTCGAAGATGAGAAAAAGGGACTCCAAGTAGTAGCCATAAAAGGTTCTTATTTGTTTTCCTAATTTAAAAAAAAAAGAAAAAAAAAAAAGAAAAGAGAGCGAGAGTGCCAATCTCAACTGTAACACCCAACTATTTCTTTATTTATTATTATTATTATTATTTTAATTTATTTTAATTTATTTTATATAAATATAAATAAATATTAATAGAATTTAATTTAATTTAATTTATTTTAATGAAAATAATAATAATAACAAAAATGAGTAAAAATTATTTAAGGATTTAATTGAAAACAATTTTAAAGAAAATGGGTGAAAATTTGGGTTATGGAGTTATTTTTAAAAGAAAAATCGAAAATTGAGGGTCAAAACGTAATTTAAAAAAATTGTGTCACGTCAGCTGGCCGGTCAGCAGTACTGGCCAACCAGGACGCGCCAGGTGGCGGAGACGCTGACGCGGGAGGCCACGCAGGAGGGAGCCACGTGGGCGATTTGTGTGCGCGCGATCGGACGGTTGAGGTCCGTTACCGCGCGCACGGACGACGCAAATTGCATTGCGCACGGACGATCCAGATTGAATCGTGCACGTACGGTCCAGATTAAATTGCGATGAACGGTGCAGATTCATTCCCTATTTAATCGCGATCGGACGGTTCAGATTAAAAGCGATGAACGATTCAGATCAAAAGTGGATGAGTATAAATAACTTCATTCGCACCCAAAGTCTAACCCTAGCCGCCAGAGCCCCTCGCCGGAGAAGACAGCCCAATCGCCAAGGAGCCGACCGCCGCCACCCGCCGCCGTACCGAAGCAATTTCTGGTCGCCAAACAAGGTAAAAATTCTACCCTTTGCTCATATTTGATTTTAAACCCATCTGTTGCCAAATCGGAGCGAAAGTACCGGCCAATTGGCCGGAAAATGTCGCCGAAGTTCAGTGGCACCGCCGTGGGGTGTCTTGCTTTTTGCCTCTGATGAGGCCTTCCCGATTCCCGTTCGATGTGATTTTTCCACCGTTGTGATCACCGTTTCCTCCTCTACAGGTTGACCGGAGCAAAACACCCAACCCGCGACGTGAGCCGGAGGAGCCGCCTCACCAGAGAGCCCATCCGCCGGTAAGTTTCGATTTTTCGTGTTTTTTGGGCCCACCGAGGTCCCTAAGTGTGTTTTTTCATAGGAATCGATGCAAGTTTGGCTGAATTTGGCCGAAAACAGCCAACTCAAGGCGGATCGCCGCCACTCGCGGCGACACCGTCACCGGAGCAAGGCGGAGCCACCGTACCGATATTCCGAAATTGGCCGAGTAGGCCCTGGGTCTGATTTTTAGGTTATTTGGAACATGTATAGGTACCGTAAGTGCGTTTCAATTCCCGGGTAAAAATTTAAGAAACCCAGGAACCGCCCGTAGGTGCAGTGAAAATATAGTTTTCGGCGTCAAATCAAGTAAGGACCTCTCACCTTATTTCCTATCATGAAATTGAAGTCTGAATAAATGATAATACTGTATTTTGTACAAATTAAATACATATGCATAATTAATTACGGTTGCTAATGGAGCTCGAACCGGACATATTTCTCTATCAATTCCTGTTTGATTTATTTTACAGTTTAAATGCATTATGGTATCTGGTTTATTTATTCTATGATTTTGAATGCATATATCACTACTTACTTCACTATTGTTTGATTTTTGGAATCTAAGATATGCTTGTTTTGTTGGATGTACGTTACTTGTGTATGTATTTATGTTTGATTTGGTAACGGAGATTAAGGACAAATAGGAATGGGATGAGATTTGATAAGTGGATAAGATGACGGCCTCACTAGATATCCTAGGAGATGGTGGATGGACCGAGTTCATAGGAAACTCTACCGTGAACGTTGTCTCATACCGGACGGGGTATGGAGACTTGGTCATTTGGCACTTGTACCGGACGGGGTATGGGGACGGCCTGCTTCACCTTCATACCGGACGGAATATTGAAGTTTATTATTTTGGCGCTCATACCGGACAGAGTATGGAGACGGCCCTGGAATTAAGTTTGTTAAGGAAATTGTTCACGTGTAGCGGGGACCCATATGGATCCCCATGGATACTAGTAGACTGATAAAAATGGGCAATTATTGTTTGATGGTTTGAATATAAAAGTGTGATATATGCTATGTTACAGATGATATATGAATTCATGATATTTATAATATTATTGTTTCCATAGGTTGTTTCTATAAATCTCACTGCGGTAAATGGACAGTAAATGGTTTGATTATTGATAAACGAATTTGTTTAAATCTACTGCTCCAATGGTTGTTTTAATTTTCTACTAACATTTACTTCTTTGACGGTGATTAATGTGATACTTATTGGGTTAGTGTAACTCATTCCTTATTTAACCATTTCATATCAGGAGAACCTGATTCCTGAACCCGATCCATAAAAAGACAGCGAGTAGATGCTAGATACCTTATAGTTTCCTTTATTTTTCTTATTTATCGTATTTCTTTTAGAGAACTTATTCCGTGATATTGTTTGGCATTTTTAAGTTATTGTGTAAGAGATATTAACCTTAATATTTTATTTCGCTTTCGCATTTAGATTATTATATGTATTTTCTTTTAAATTTTCGGTGTCGTTACAGTAACTATAACTGTAAATTTAATTTTTTGTTTTCTTTCCCAGGAAGTAGCAGGGCAGAATCAATGATGGAGGAATGAGGAAGGTGAAGCGAGGTATACATACCCCTATTATTTTTTTACTTTGAGATGATGAGGTTAATAAGATAAATTGCATTTGGGTGATTGTTGATAAGATATCTGTTTCCTAACAATAACATGAAAATGATCGATAAGAGTGAAATACGTGCAATTTCTATTGTGATTATCCAACCATGTTCTGAATTAATTAATTATAGTTATAAATAAATTAAATTTGACTTCTCTCCGAAAATGTAAGCAATTAATTAGTTATTCAGACGATTGTAATAATAATTTTAATAGAATAAAAATAATGATTATAGTCTTCCTACCGAATGATTAGTGTAAAAGAAAATACTATAATTAATTAATTATTTTAATCATTCTAACTTATGATAAATAAATAAAATTAATTTTAATTCTCTACCAATATAGTTAAATTTTTCTATACAAATTTATTTGAACAAATTTCATATGGTTGAAGAACCGAGTATTTTGAGAAAATATGTGTAAGAAATGATTTCGTCGTCTCTTTAAGAAAAGAAGAAAGAAAGAAATGCGTGCATCATTAAAACTGAAGGTTTCAGGGAAAATGGGGCCCACGAGCCAAGCCAAACCAAACCATCACGTGATGTGTACACGTGGAAGTTACAATCTCCACGTGCTTCACTCGTCTCTACAGAACTAAGTCAGTCGAGTCTCAAAAGAGTAGGAGAAATCGGAATGGCAATTCCGTAATTTAAGTCCAAGTTTAGTGGCGTTTGTTAGTTATTATTTGCTGCCGTTCCATCTTCCGCATTGGTTGCATCGCCTGAGATCCCTATAAAACGCTCTTTTTTCGGAAATTAAAAAGGGCCAAAAAAGAAAGAAAAAGAACAGACAGACATACAGCAGAAAACGAACTCTTGCTTCTTTCTTCCCGTTCTTAAACGGAGAAGCGGGACGGAGAGGGAAGCGCACGCTCTGAGGAAGAGATGCTGAAGGTTCCATGCAATGCGGCGGATTCGCTGCAGGCCATGGCCCAATGCAGATTCCCGGGAGTCCGGAAGCCCGAGTCCAAGCCGGATCCCAACCGCCGATGGAAAGCTCTAGTTTGCCAAACACCTGAGCGGACCAGGGGTCCTGCTCCGCTCCGTTCGGTTGTGTCTGATAAGGGAAGCACAAACCTCTTCGACGTGGGCACGGGGAGCTTGGCCGACCGACTTCGGTTTGGGAGCTTGACGGAAAACGGTTTGTCATACAAGGAAAAGTTCATTGTGAGGTGCTATGAGGTCGGAATTAACAAGACCGCAACTGTTGAAACCATAGCCAATCTCTTGCAGGTTTGTATTTTAAGTTTGATGGTGTTCACTTCGATTCGGTCATGGTGTATCTTCATCTGCATCCATTTGGTGGTAGTTCTATTTTGGGCTTTTCTGGGTGCGTTTCATTTGCTATACTGGTTTTCTTTCACCTTTTTTGTATATTTGGACTCTGCGCAAATTTGAGGATTTTTGGGATCTGGCTATTTTTGTGGTTTTCCTCTCTTTCACCAGGACCCATGGGCATTGACGTTTTAGGGTCTGGTTTTGTAGCATTTGGATATTCTCTCTCTTACTATCTCGTCATTTGATCATAATTAGAAATTTTTTTTATACATCAAAGAATCAGAGTTTTACCCCAATCGACCTTTATGGGCTGAGAAATTCTATGGCCTCTCTGAGGCTTACTTTATAAGGTTGCATAGTAATTAGTAGTTTAAGTAATCTTATAACATTTCTTAGTAATTTTGTAGTTTGTTATAAGAATCGCTCTGAAAACATCAGTAACTTAGTAATCCACTAATTTTGTGTAGCAATCCATTAGCTTTATGTAGTAAGTAATTACTACACGGTGTCAATTAATTAACACACAATTATTGGATTATCATTATAAAAAAAAAAAAAAAAAAAAAAAAAAAAGTTAGGAAGTCATCATGCGTTTGTGGATTGCTAGGGGGTGATAAATTTTTATGTATGTTTAAGGTTGTTAAAATTAATTTTCTCTTAATGAGACTTTATAACTTGGGGTAAAATGGGACATAATAAGTTTTTGCAATGCTTCTTTCTTAGTGTTCTTCAGGAATACTTTTGATAGAAATTTAATTTAATGACCTGGGAAAATATACATGGCAGGAAGTTGGGGGTAACCATGCCCAGAGTGTTGGCTTTTCGACAGATGGATTTGCAACAACTCCCACCATGCGGAAATTGCATCTCATATGGGTAACTGCACGCATGCACATTGAAATATACAAATACCCTGCTTGGTGGGTTCTCTTTTTTGTTTGCATCAACTGAAAATGCTCATTTATCATTTTTTATTTTTTGTTTTCCCTTTGACTAATTAGTACCTTGGTGATGTGGTATAGGAGTGATGTGATTGAAATAGAAACATGGTGCCAAAGTGAAGGAAGGATTGGAACAAGGCGTGATTGGATTCTCAAGGACTATGCCACTGGTCAAGTTATAGGAAGAGCTACTAGGTACAATTTTGGGCTACTAGGTACCATTGAATTTCATGCATACCAAAACGTGTTCAGATAAATCCTAAACATGAACATAGTTAAGAAGTATGTTTTAAGATTCACAAGGATATAGGTATTTGGGTGGTCTCTTTTGTAGTGGACTTCAAAGCATATATTCAAAGTTAGTAACCTGTTTCCTCCATTTGATTGTGTGCTGAACATAATCCTATAGAACCAATAATGTATATGTCTTTTGAGGGAAAAGATACACATGCATTTTCATTGTATCCAGAACTGTGTATCTTCCAGAGCCCTGTGGTTTCGAAAGATCAAGACAAACATATTAATCATGGATTTTCAGGAACTATAACCAGGTTGTACATGCATTATAGCAAACTATGCATTGCCTTTATCTGATAGGGAAATTGTTGTTATGAAGCCTCCTGTTTTCTTTGCTCCTCTGCTTCAGCTAGGTTCATTTCATTATTAATCAATGATTGATGGTGATATTTATTATTTTAAAAAAATATTTCTCCCTGCAGTTGATATTGTTCTCTGTGTAACCATATCACTTAATTGGGATTTGATAAATTTCCATGGGTCACCATATTTCCTTCAACACAGAATCCTCCAAAATTGATATTTCTTTATTTCTCCTAAGTATCTTGTCTTTGAAGGTTCATATACTAAAATTCCTTGCTTCATACTTGCAAACCAAATTCACATTAGATATGTTGCTGGTAGAATAATCTCAAAGTTTTAAGACTTTTTTGCATTATGGTCATTTATGTTCTTTCGTATGGCTGTTTGATGTAATATGCATATATCAATTTACAAATCTGTTGAAAGTAATAAGAGAAAGCAATTATTATCCTATTAGAAAGATCTCCCTCATGATGGTACTGCAGTTATCTCCTTCTGTATTAGGTTTGCTTAACAGTGTCTATCAATTTGAACAGTTCTACCTAATCAAGGTATATTCTCATATATGATATGATTACAGCAAGTGGGTCATGATGAACCAAGACACAAGGCGTCTACAGAAAGTCAGTGATGAAATCAAGGAAGAGTATTTGGTTTTCTGTCCTAAAGAACTGAGGTGAGTGCTTTTCTTTTCATCAAGACTGAACAAGAACTGTTTTATGTTGTTATGTCAATAATTACATAAGCAATTTGATGCATGCTTTATGATATTATGCTCTATGAGATGGCTTCTTCAGCTTGTTTTGGCTTTTCCTTTTTGTTTGAATCATTCTCTCTAATCCCTAATGCTGCATCACAAGTTTTAACTAAACCTGGAGAGCTTAAAAAATTGTTAATGCTACAAGAGTTACTAATTTATTATATAAAGCTTGAACTTATTCATTTACTAACTGGTGTAGGCATCTTCATTTGTGGATGTTAATCCTTATGTTCGAGTTCAGCTGTTCCCTATGACCCACTTGGTTGGAAGCTTTTTTTATTTGCTGCTGATTCCATGGAGGATGAGGAAATTTGGAAGTGCTAATAACCACTGAGAGTTTTAAAAATGAATGGGAACATTTTCTGCTTTATTAAAAAGTAGCATAAGAGCACTTGGAAATAAGAAACTAATGAAATAAATAACTCTGAAAGTGATTTCTGGAGTCTGGGGTACAAAAAGCTAGGATATACTGGAATAAGTGGATGTATTAGCAATTATTTAGACCTGCAAATACTCACAGGACTTTTAAATTTCCTTCTACCATGGCTGGTGGTTCAAGTTAGATTAATCTCATAATTTATACGTTGTATGGAAAATTGAAATTTTTGAGAGGTCTAGAACTAGCGTAACGGGAAATATCAAAATCATACTGAATGCAATTCACAAAATCCTAGTTAAGGCACATCTTCTACCATCATTGGTTCTGCCAGGCCCCTAGATCTAGAATTCTGTCTTCTCATTCTCATTTGTGCTCTTGTGCTTGCTTGCCTCTATTATGGCATATTTTAGGTTGGCATTTCCTGAGGAAAACAATAACAGCTTGAAGAAAATTTCAAAATTAGAGGACCCTGCTCGGTATTCCATGCTAGGTCTTAAGGTAAGATCCTACAGTATATTTTAAGTTCTTTTGATGTTCCTTTAAGTTCTCAGTGTGTTCTCCTTGAACATGCAGCCTAGAAGAGCTGATCTTGACATGAATCAGCATGTTAACAATGTCACCTACATTGCATGGGTTTTGGAGGTGAGTGGAAATTCCATTCCATTTCTTATTCCATAACATAACCCACCTCACAAGAATTGCCTCATTTTGAGGTTTATGTTCTTTGCATTGATAATTTTTTTGGGCAAATTACATTTGGTCTCATGAAGTTTGCTATATTACAAAAAAACTATTTTACTTTTTTAAAATTGAAAAAATAACATCTTATCTATTATGTAACTTTTTGCCATCTTTCATTTTATGAAAGAAAATTGTCTAAAAAATGTCTAAAATTTGAAAATTACACAATCAGTAGGCACAAAATGAAAAAAGAGCTATACTGGCAAAAAAGCAATAAAACAACAGTTTTTCTTTTGTTAATAATCAATTTTCAAAATTTTCAGGAATTTTAAATGATAGGTGGATACTTCAATATTATTTGTACATTGTAGAGTAACAGAAAAATTGTTAGAATCGTCAACATAGTAGATAGCTAGGCGTTAAAAGTGTATAATAGTGTATATATTGTGGGGGTTTTTCTATTTAATTTTAATTAATGATGCAGTTTTTGTATATAATAATAGACTTCAGATGACAAAATTAGTATTGTGCTACAAAGTTGAAGTGGTTCTGTACCAATTGTTGTTGCTGATCTAATGGAATATATCTATTTATGGCAGAGCATACCTCAAGATATTATAGACACCCATGAACTGCAAACAATAACTTTAGATTATAGGCGGGAATGCCAGCAGGATGACATAGTTGATTCCCTCACAAGTCCAGAGCAAGATGGGGATACTGAAATGATTTCAGGATTCCAGGGAAGTAATGGATCTGCAGCTGCAAGAGAAGATAAACAAGACACCCTTCAGTTCTCACATTTGTTGAGATTATCAGCAGATGGGCAAGAAATAAACAGGGGTCGGACTGAATGGAGAAAGAAATCCACCAGATAAGGAACTTGTTTGGTTCTGCCACACCTTTTTGTTAGTTTATGTTCTCTTCCAAGTTGATTTTCTATCTATTTGTTTTGCCTTTTCATTCGCAACGGGTTTCAATCCTAATTCATGGCCTGCAAGGGACAGATTGAGGAACTTGAATTCATTGGTTGAGTTTGGGGAAGAAGAAGACGCAACTTAAACATAATCTTTCTATAAATCCTCAGACTTAGTGAATCTTTTGTTGTAGTTCTCTTTCAGAGGCTTCATGTTCAATATGTATTTCTGATATTTAAGATTAATATAGGGTAAGTGGTTCGGGTTGCAGAATTTGGTGCTGTTTGGGTGATGGATATGATGAATCACATTGTAGATAATCAGGAGTTGTCTTTCTGATAAGGAAATTATCTCCTTCAGAATTCTACGAATCAACTGTTTTATTTGATGGCGTGGAGTAGAGTCTGTTAAAACTGAAGTCAATGTGTATGATGATTGTTCGTGAATGGTCTATTCTATTTAGTGAAAAATTAAATGTGCACGCTTGAAAATAATTTTTTGCCACCTCTGTTGTTCCATATTTACAAGCCTGGCATACTTTGACAATCTGATCTCGATCTCCAACAGATTAATCACCTACCTCGTTACAAAGACATGCAATTCTATGCCTTTCTGTTCTCATTGTATATTTACCATCCCACTTCTCAGTCTTCTAGCTAGGCCAGCAGAAATTTTTTGCTCAATTTCTCTACTATTTCTAGCCTGTATTTTCTTTTCAAAATGCAACAAAATAATAATCTTCACAGAAATTGGCAATGTTCAATTTAAAAGCAACTGGTAAACCCATTGAATTCAGAGAGATCATCGGTAAACGTTCCATATGTGAGCATCAGAAGAACTTGCCAAGAAAACATTTAAAAGAAACTACGGGCAGTGGCAATATTAATTATGATGGTAACTCGCCATGGAGAACCACCATATTATTTTGCTGTTTAGCTCAAAATCAGATTTCTTCTTCCACGAACCAATTTGTGTGTCAGTCCCAAACAAGGAAAAGAAAACATACCCTTCTCACCAACTCCCGATATATATACAGGGCAGAACTGAACCAACTCTCTTCATGCAAAAAAAACTGGCAATGGAGAGGAAAACATTAAGAGCTTTACTCATTTTAAGTGTGTTGGTTCTGGGAATGGTTGCTGGTAGTGAAGGAGGCAGAGGTTTGGGTGTGAAGGAAGACGATGAGGTCAATAGTCCACAGCTGCTCGGCCTAGGGATTGGTGGCCTATTGGGGGGTCCTTTCGGGTGGGGTGGTTTTCTCCCTCTCCTCCGTGCTAACCCCAAACAGACTGCAAAATCCCCATGATCAAGTTATCAATTGTGTACTTGAATAAACGTCTCCTCTACTTGTACTGAAGAATTAACTGCTACTTAAATAAATGTTCTCCCGTTAGATCTCACTCTTGGCAGATTTTTCGTTTCTTTAGAATCCATAAACAAAAAGATGCAACAAAGAACCGATAGCTCTCAATCAAACTCCAACGAGCTATCAGAAAATGTTTTTTAGTTAGGACCCAAGTAATCTTATATGTTTGTTTAAACCTGTCTGGAACAAATCAATTACTTTTGTTAACTTCTTGATTTGATAAAATTTAGAATAATATTATTTTTTATTCTTAATTGAAATCTTCTTAAAAGTAACTTACTAGACTTTAACAATATGGTCAAGTTTCATAAAAAATAATTTATTTCTTCCGCCCATAGCCAGTGATGGACAGCCAAGTTGTCTGATAACCTGCATGACATTTGGATGTATCCACGATAATGCAAACTAGGATGGTTAATCAGACCATACGAACTGAAATTTACCTATATTCCAATATTAACCCAACAACACCATACAAAAGTTTCATTACAGAGTTCAAGAATTGAGACTCAATGCCATGATCATTGTTCCTTTTCCTCCAAGGCCAAGCCAATCTGTATTCACCCCGTTGTGCAATGAAGGAGAAACTGGAAAAGAAAAACATGTAATCAGCAGCAATAAACTGAACTAAATTGAAAAATAGACACATGCTCAAATGGACTGAAGCGCATAATATTTTCTATAACAATTTAAGAATACCCGATATCCAGGGCCAAAAATATGACATACAAGTTCTGCCACTGTAAACCTGGAACAGGATTTTGTCATGAGTAGCACAACAAACTCATCAAAGTATTAAGAGCATAACATGTTAATTTATAATAATCAAGCATTTTCTGTAAGGACCAAACATCGCGTGAGGATGCTCAAGTAGTCAACTTGAATTGTATTGCAAAATTTTCAATGGAGAAGCTCATTCAGCGAGTTTTGGATATACA